GACATTGGGGTGCATGTATCTTTTTGCATTAGAGTTTCCTCTGGATATATGCCCAGGAGTGGGATTGCTGGATCATATGGTAAGTCTATTCTTAGTCTTTTGAGGAATCTCCATACCATTTTCCATAACGGCTGCACCAGACTACATTCTCACCAACGGTGTAGGAGGATTCCCTTCTCTCCACAGCCTCTCCAGCATTTATCGTTTGTGGACTTTCGAATGATGGCCATTCTGACTGGTGTGAGGTGATACCTCCTTGTAGTTTTGACTTGTGTTTCTCTGATAATTAGCGATACTGAGCATTTTTTTTGATGTGCCTGTTGATCATTTTTATGTCTTCATTGGAGAATTGCTTGTTTAGGTCTTCTGCCCATTTTTGGATTGGGTTTTTTTTTCTTATTAAGTCATATGAGTTGTTTATATATTCTGGAAATTAAGCCCTTGTCAGTCTCATCTTTTGCAAAGATTTTCTCCCATTCTGTAGCTGTTGTTTTGTTTTGCTTATGGTTTCCTTTGCTGTGCAGAAGCTTCTAAGTTTATTTTTGCTTTTATTTCTATTCCTTGGGTAGACTACCCCAGGAGAACACTGCTGTGGTTTATATTGGATAACGTTTTGCCTGTGTTTTCTTCTAAGACGTTTATTATAGTGTCTTATGTTTAAGGCATTTTGAGTTTATTTTTTGTGTATGGTGTGAGGGAGTGTTCTAACTTCATTGATTTACATGCAGCTGTCCAGTTTTCCTAACACCATTTGTTGAAGAAACTGTCTTTACTCCATTGTATGTTCTTGTCTCCTTTGTTGACGAAAAGTTCGTGGGTTTATTTCTGGGCACCACAGATTATATGTTGTGCTTTCATATTTATTTTGCTTTCTTTTTGATTCATTGGTTTTTCATGAGTATGTTATTTAATCCCTACATATTTATGAATTTTTCCAGCTTTCCTCCTGTTACTGTTTTCTAGTTTCAAAGCATTGTGGCCAGAAAAGACACTTGGTATGATTTCAACTTTCTTAAATTTCCTAAGATAGGGGCTGTGTGACCTGTCGTGTGATGTATTCTGGGGAATGTTTTGTGTGTGCTTGAGAAGAATGTATGTTCTGCTATTGTTGGATGAAATATTCTGTTAGGACAAATGGACCTAAAGTGGCATCTGAATCCATTATTTCTTTATTGATTTCCTGTCTGGATGGGCTATCCATTGTTTATAAAGTGGTGTATTGAAGTCCCCTGCCATTACTGCATTACTGTCTGTTTTTCCTTTCAGATCTCTTAATGGTTAATATTCTTAGGTGCTTCAATATTGGATGTGTGTATGTTTATAATTATCTCTCTCTAGTTGACCCCTTTATCATTACATAATGACTCTTGTGACAGTTTGTGAATGTCCTTAATGCTTGAGTCTTTGTAGGCAGCATATAGAGGAGTCTTATTTTTTTTTATCCATTCAGCCAGTCTATCTTTTAATTGAATAATTTAGGCCCTTTATATTAATTATTGATAGCTAAGGACTTACTAATGGCCATTGTTAATTGCTTTCTGAATTTTTTGTATTTCCTTCATTTCTTTGTTCCTCGTGCTGTCTATCTTTGTGATTAATGATTTTTTTTTTGTAGTAGTTTGCTTTCTTTTCTCTTTATCATTGTGTATCTATTACTGGGTTTTGCCCTGTGGTTACTATGAGGCTTTCACAATACACCAGATAGTGATAACCATCCATTTTAACCTGGTAACTTCAATTACATAAGAAAGTTCACCCATTTATGTTGGTGTCCCAATTTACATTTTTATTAGCGTTCATTAACAATATTGTAGCTATAGTTATTAACACTTTTGTCATTTAACCTATTGCTAGATTTCAAAGTTATTTACACACCACCATTGAAGTATTAGAGTATTTACCAATAAATTTTATACTCTAATATGTTTTCATGTTAATAGTTAGCATCCTTTTGTTTCAGCTTGAAGAACTTTAGCATTTCTTGTAAGGCAAGTCTAGTGGTGATAAATTCCCTCAGCTTTTGTTTGGGAAAGTCTTTATCTCCTTTATTTTTGAAGGGCAGCTTTGCTGGGTTAAGTATTCTTGGATAAATGTTTCTTTGAGCACTTTGAATATATGATCCCATTGTGTCCTGGCCTGCAAGGTTTCTGCTGAGAACTGTAAAGCCTTCTCAGGATTCCCTGTATGTGGTGTTTTGTTTTGTTTTGTTTTTCTCTTGATGCTTTCAAGATTCTGACTTTGATTATATTGTCTCAGTCAGGCTCTTTTTGGGTGGATCTTTTGAGTTTCCTATATCTGGATGGCCATCTCTCTAAGATTTGAGAAATTTTTAGCCAATATTTCTTTGAATAAGAGTTCTGTCCCTTTCTCCCCTCTGTTCTCCTTCTGGGACTCCCAAAGTAAGGCTACTGTTTCTTTTGATCATGTCTTACCATTCATATATGCTTTCTTCACTCTTTCATTCTAATTTAAAAAATGGGATTTTTTTTTACAATATCATTTTTTAAATTGAAGTATAGTTGATGTACAATATGTTACAGGTATACAATATGATTCACAAATTTTTAAAGGTTATACTCCATTTATAGTTATAAAATATTGGCTATATTCCCCATGTTGTACAATACATGTTTGTACCTCTTAATCTTCCATCTTGCCCCTTCCCTCTCCCCACTGGTAGCCACTAGTTCCTTCTCTTCATCTTTGAGTCTGTTTCTTTTCTGTTATATTCATTAATTAATTGTATTTTTCTAGATTCCACATATAAGTGATATTTCAGTTAGCATAATGCCCTCCAAGTCCATCCATACTATATGCCAGAAACTAACTTTTTTTACTGCATATTATTTTTAATTTATATATGTGTACTGTTCATTGTTTCAAAGAATGTTTAGAGCTTTAGCTTTTTAAATGTAGTTATCAAAGCAATATAGCCAACCACAAAATAAGAATTCAAAAAGATACATACACCTTGCTATTAATAGCAACACTATTTACAATTGCCAAGACACGGAAGCACACCAACAGATGAATAGATAAAGGTGCAGCATGTATATGTAATGGAATACAACTCACCCATAAGAAAGAAGGATATTTTGCCATTTGCAGCCCTTCATTCACTTTTTTCCCCACTTCAAAAACCAGAATTTTATCACTGGCATAAACATCAAAAACAATACCTAGAAATAAACCTAACCAAGGAGGTTACCTGTACTCTGAAAACAGAAATGACACAAAGAAACAGAAAAACATAGTGTTGATTCTTCCAATCCAAGAGCGCACGATCAAAATGGCCACACTACCAAAGCAATCCACAGATCCAATGCAACCCCTCGCCACATTCCACACAGCACTAGAACAAACAATTCCAAAATTTATAAGGAACCACAGAAGACCCCAAACAGCCAAAGCAGTCTTTTGTAGGTCTTTTTTCTTTTTTCCTTTTTCTTCTGTTTCCTTATGGTTTGATAACTAGAGAAGGTCCTTTAACATTTCTTGTAAAGCTGGTTTGGTGTTGCTGAATTCTTTTAGCTTTTATCTGATTTCTCCATCAAATCTGAATGAGAACCTTGCTGATAGAGTATTCTTGGTTGTAAATTCTTCCTTTTCATCACTTTAAATATATCGCGCCACTCCCTTCTGGCCTGGAGAGTTTCTGTATCAAATCAGCTGATAAACTTATGGGAGTTCCCTTGTATGTTATTTGCTTTTCTCTTGTTAATTTTAATATTTTCTCTTTATCCTTAATTTTTGTCAATTTGATGACTGTGTGCTTTGGTATGTTCCTCTGAGCTGATTCTGTGTGGAACTCTCTGTACTTCCTGGGCATGGGTGACTGTTTCCTTTCCCGAGTTGGGGAAGTTTTCAGTTATTATCTCTCCAAAACTCTTTTCAGGTCCTTTCTCTTTGTCCTCTTTCTGGGACCCCTATAATGCAAATATTAGTGAGCTTCAGTGAGATTCTTGCTTAAGTTGTTACTAATCATTTCAATCAGCTACTTCTAAGATCTGCTCATTAAACTGTGGCCAAGGAATATTTCTCTTTTGAGATTTCTTAAATCACTGATACTTAATCAAATTCTGATGCTCTTTTGTTGATATAAAAATTCAATCTACCCCTGTGTTTTACAGCCAATGGTAGGGTAATTCTTAGATCATACTGAAAAATAAATATTCGAGGGAAATTCAGAACTTACACAAAGAGAAAACTTTGCATTTGGGCATGATACACAATTTAGTGTTAGTTTCATGAATGGTCGTTTTCAGTTTCACAGATTCTGTCATTTAATCTGTCAGTTTCAGCTCCTAATTCTCAGATCTATGACCTTGACTTTTCTCCACTGTTCCTCCTTAAATAGTTTTTTAATATGTATTAGCTCAGTAGCCTGGTTGTGTCCTAACAGTTCTGGATGTTCACAGTCCTTTTTTTTTCTTAGCATCTTCTGTGCTGCTTGCCACATTTCCCCAAGATTCCTACTGCTGTTAAACAAGGCTGCTCCCTGAGGCACCCCCTCAGATATGTGTTGACTTGAAAATTTTCACTTTATCATTAGATATTGCTACTGCTTTCCCATAATAGAAAGTCCCTTCATCATTTTTTCCCATCAAAACCAAATAGCTACTGGTACTTATGATTTATTATATATGTATATACACATATATAAGTCTATATATATACATAAGTACCTTAAAATTCCCTTGATCATAAGCAATTTTAGAAGATATATATTTTATCTCATATGTGTTTATTTTTTTCAGAAGAAATTTATTGAGTGCCTATTATGCAAATGTGAATATTTGTTTACTTACAGAAGTATAGGTGCCTGAGGTCAATCAACCCAGCTCCTAAATGCCATATAGTACCAAGTAAAATTTTTAAATTAAACCTGATTTCTTTAAGCACATAAATGTACATTTCTGCAGAATGTCTCTTGTTTGTTGTGATTTGTCAGCTCAGGTACAACAGAGGCTTAAAAAAATAGTGTCTTAACAAAGACATACTTCTCTCTTCTGTACATGGCAGCCTACAGTCCTCAGGGATCTGAGTTTATTTTCATTCTGTCCTCCACCTTCTGGTTCAGGATGGCTGCTAGATAAAGTGGCAAATATTTCTTAAAACACAGCACAGTGAGTACCAGTCTTAAAAGAAAAATAATAGAAAGAAAGAAATATTAAAAATTGTTACAAAGAATGAAAGACTTCTGCTCCTTCTGCTCATCAAAAGATCAATTTACACTCTTACTGGTATAAGCCACAGAGTATCCAAGAAACAAATTGAATCCAGAATACATACAAAGAGTAGGTACTTCATTAAAGAGATGGTCAAATGGCCAAAACCATAAAAGGTAGTATCATTAGTCATCTGGCAAATGCCAATTAATAGCATGATGAAATACTATTAC